TATAGCGTTTCTAAGGAGAGGCTGATATCTATTAGGTTAAATAAAATATATAATAAAAATTGCTCGTTTTTTTCACTTGCTAATGCATCTATAGAAAATTTAAGTGTATTTATATTGTTCCTATTATAATTCTGTTGGACAGTGGTTGTCTAGACAAGGGGGCTCAAAATATAATAACTTAATTCTTTTGTTTGCTTAGTTTTGGTTATTCTAGCTCCTAAAAGTAGAGCATGAGGGATAAGTGAAAAACAAAAAAATTGCTACTAAGATTCCAGTTTATACATGCATGAATTTATTTCCAAAAACTGTTTTAATGTGTCTGTGATCACTGGATGACTGCGTACAAATTCTCTCATTAATACACTTTTCTTAGCCTCATTGGAATCCTAGTATGAAACTGTAGGATAAGCACAGGACTGCTATTTGCAAGGTCAGAGGTTCAAGCCTACTGGCAGATTCTCAGAAACTCTCTATAAGGTCACTATGAAATGGAACCAACTGGATGGCACTTAACAACAACAGTCTCATTAGGGTCCCTTCAAAAAAAAAAAAAAAGTCCAATCAAAACAATGGCATCCAAATGGTCTGCGGAGCCAGTTAAGTTAGTTTAGAATGTTACGGCTTATGTTTTCTGGGATTGCAAAGGGGTAGTCTTGATAGATTTTTTCAAAGGACATGGTTTATTATGAAGAAGTTTTCCGAAAACAAAACTGTGTTGGTAAGTAAAGGCCAGGAATGTGGCACTGAGTAAATGTTTTCCCCCTCATTACAATGCAGTTGCCCATTCTTTCAGGGTAGCAAGCTCTGAAACCTTACCCCATCTACCCTGTAGCCCTGATCTTGCCCCTTCTAACTTCTTTTTTTCTCCCCAAACTTAAAGAACATTGAAAAGGAACCTAGTTTTAGAAGCCAACTGTCGTCTTGACTTGGTATAAATAGAGAAGTGATGCATTCATTTCATTTGGAGGAAGGATTGATGTTGTTGTGCCATCAACTCGGTTCCTACTCACGGCGATACTGTATAGGGTTTCCATGGAGTGGCTGATGAGTTTGAACCGTCAGCCTTGTGGTTCAAACCAAACTTGCCATTCAGTGCCTTATCTCACAGCATCACACAGGACTCCAGGAGGAAGGGTTAGAGAGATGAAATACTGCCATCAGAACTATGTAGACCTATGTGGAGTATATATTGAGAAATAGCAGGTTCACATTTTAATGGTTTTTGACTTATCCTCGTATGTATCATTTAGTCTTCCATTATTCATAATGATATGTTCTGAAATTTGATTTTTAAGTTGGTTATTAAAACTGCAATTCATTTTTTTTGTGTAACCATACTAGGCAAGAGAAAGATACCTGTTCCAGTAGGTTTTCATAACTTACCTGAAATTGTATTAATATATTCATAAGCCTGTCTTTCCAAAGTTCTCTTTGCCTTAAAATAAAGTCCTAGGCATTCTGAACTTGTCTTTCTAAAGTCATTACTGAGAAGTTTCCTGAGTATTATGGAAGGTAGAAATTAGAAAACAAAAGGGGTGGCCACTTCTGAGAAATGTCAAACAGTTTGTAATGTCAAACAGTTTCTGTTACCTGGAAACTTTTCCAGCAGTGTTTTGGGCAGGAGTTTATGCTCAGTTCGATATGTTAAAAGGTTCTATGGGAACAGTTGTTGTTAAGTTCTGACTCACAGTGACCCTGTGTACTAAGGTTCCTGAGGAGTGGCTGGTGAGCTTGAACCACTGATACTGCGGTTCAAACCGATTTTGCAGTTTGAACCGCTGATATGCGGTTCAAACCGATTTGCAGTTTGATTCATGGCCTGACCCAAGCCATGGTATTTTCAATAACCTCTTATGGATGTGAAAGCTGGACAGTGAATAAGGAAGATCGTAGAAGATTTGATGCCTTTGAGTTGTGGTGTTGGAGGAGAATACTAAAAGTGCCACGGACTGCCAAAAGAACCAATAGATCTGTTTTGGAAGAAGTGCAGCCAGAGTGCTCCTTGGAGGCCAGGATGGCTAAGCTGTGGGTTAATGCACCGGACTGTAAGGCCATTTGAACTGCAAGTTGGCGATTCAAGCTCACCAGCTGCTCCTTGTAAACTCTGTATAGGGTCACTATGGGTCAAAACCGACACGACGGCACTAAACAACAGCAACAACTGCTCACCAGCTCCACTGTTTGCTTTTTTAAGCTTGCACTATCCCTCACCTGTATTACTGCCTCAGCCTTCTACCTCTTCCTAATCTGTTCTCCACATGGCAGCAGATGTGTAACAAAACTGAATTATAGCATGCTCTTGTGCTACTTAAAGTCCTGCAGAGGCTTTTTCTTGTATTGAGAATAAAAAAATTGAAGCTTAGCAGTCCTGGTGTGGTGCTGTGAGTTAATGTGCTGGACTGCAAAGTTAGTTTGAACTGCAAGATCGGTCATTCAAGTTCACCAGCCACTCCTCACAAACCCTATACAGGGTCGCTATGGATTGGAACCGACTCGATGGCACTTAACAACAACCATAACATATGGAGTCCTGGTGTGGCACTGTAGGATAAACAGTAGATTTCAAGGTTGGTTTGAACTGCAGTTCAAATCCACCAGCTGCATTTGGAAGTAATCAAGTCCTTTCAGGACAAACTCCCCTCCAAGATTGAAACTCAAAGGAAACACAAGAGCAGGCATGTAAGCTTGCTGGCTCACGTTGGTTTTCTGGTGAGTAGAAGTTGGAAAAAGACAGCAATGAAGATATGGGCTGAATTCGACCATGTTCCATAGACTCCCATCGACCTGGAGATGAGAGATAAAAGAGGAACAGCTTTGTTATACAGGGATTGAGGCATAGTTTTGAATGGGTAAAAGAGGGGGAAATAATGTTAAGATACTTGACTATCTGTAAATATTGGTTTCCCTTGTCTACTACTGTAAAATAGACACTTGAGGAGGATTGAAAGGAATATCGGGAAACATGAGTGTAGAAAGTTTGTAAGTCCGGCTTCAGCCTGTAACTCATTGGAATACCTTAAAGGGGTTCTCAGAACTTGCCCAGTGAAATAGGCTTGTGGAGCTTTTGTAGTGTATAGGACCTTACGTGGAATCCTGAGCCCCATCCAGAACCTTCTGAGGTGGGACAGTCCCACTTGAAAATGGACAAGCAGACCCGCCTGGAGCAGCTAGAGGAATAGAAGATACTTCTTGAAAGAAAGACCAGCACGAAAAATCCAAAACTAAAATGGCAGTCTGATTGGCTACTACAAGAACAAGCAAGTTGTTAGCTGCAGAGCCATCAAGGCAAGCAATCAAGTCCCTTCAGGACAAACCCACTTTTTAAATATCACTAGATGTATGTTTAAGTTCTAGTTCTTCCACGTCCCCAGCAACACTTGCAAGTCAATATTTTTAATTTTAGCCATTTTAATAGATTGGTAATTTTTTTCTCATTGTTACTGTCACTTTCAGTAATGATTTACAATTTTGAGCAACTTTTTAAGTGCTTCTTTGCCATATCCTTTAGTGAAATGACAATTCAAATCTTTTGTTACTTTCTGTAATTGCAATCTTTTATTATTATTTTGTTGTGAGTGTTTCACATATGTTTACATAAGTCCTTTTGTGCAAAGATTTTCTCCCATCTTGTGTTGTGGCTTGTCTTAATGTTTTATGGTTAGGAGCCTAATGCATAAATCTATTATGCCACCAGACTCCTTTTTTAGAGTCACAGGTTTTTCATTTTAATTCCAATATTTCATTTGTTTGTTAGTGGGTTGGGTTGCATCTAAGAAACCTTTATCCACATCATTGTGTTCCTTAGTAAATACACTGTACATACTTAGTGGCTGGTAAACATCAGTAAGGTCACATTGGTTAACAGTTTTATTCATGTCTACTGTATCCTTGCTGATTTTCATTCTTACTTGTTATATCAATTATTGAAATGTTGTTAGTGTTGTTAAATGTCATCAAGTCAGTTCTGGCTTATAGCAACTCTGTATAGGGTTTCCAAGGAGTGACTGGTGGATTTGAACAGCAGATATTGTGGTTAGCAGTCCAGTGCTTATCCTACAGCACCACACCAGTACTCTAATTACTGTGTTGTTGTTGTTAAGTGCTGTCGAGTTGATTCTGACTCATAGCACATTGTATAGGGTTTCCAAGGAGCTGCTGGTGAGCTTGAACCACTGACCTTGCAGTTCAAACAACTTTGCAGTCTGGCGCGTTAGCCCACAGTACCACACCAGGACATAGGGATAACCAAATTTCTGGACATCATGGTGAATTTGCCTATTTCCCTTGACATTTCTATCATTATGTATTTTGAAGATATGCTATTTGGTATGTAAGTATTTAGGATTATGTCCTGTGGATGAATTGATTTCTTTATCATTGTGAAATTACTTTTACCTGTAGTAATATGCTTTGCTTTAAAATCTGTTTTGTCTGACATTGCACCCACTATAGTTTTCTCCCACAAATCCCACCTAGTATAGTGAGTGGGTTTTGCATTTTTGCATCAATCCTACTGTTCCTACTGTCTTTTTTTTTTAAAGTTTTTTTCTTTTTAAATTGAAAATACTGAAACAGAATATCCTGAGTCTGTCATTGGGAAGTTCAAAGTTTCGTTTTGCACTCTCATTTATCATGTTTATTCTAAATTAACTGGGATATCATCATGAAATTTATAAATGAGCTTATGCTGTAAAGATAACTATATTGAATTGAATTATGTTTTCTTACATTATCAATTTATCCTTGCTTTGGGCTTGGACAAACACATGTGCAAGGGTGAAGACACAGTCTCATTATCCTGTTTTTGAAATAATAGTGCACTGCAATTGACAGATCCATTAGGATTGTATCATAGTTGTGAGGTTTTCATAACTGCACTCACTTTAGTTTAAACGGAGATACTGAGAGATAGAACATACTAATAGGGTTTTTTTTCCCCAGGGTATAAATTTAATATTTTGTGTAACATTATTATTTATGTGTTGTTGTTTTTTCTTTAGATTGGGCAGCTGGCATTTAAAGGAATGAAGAGACTCAATAGAATCCAGTCCATAGTGTTTGAAACTGCCTACAACACCAACGAGAACATGCTGATTTGTGCGCCTACTGGAGCTGGGAAGACCAACATTGCAATGCTTACAATACTACATGAAATTCGGCAACATTTTCAACAAGGTGTTATCAAAAAGAATGAATTTAAGGTAGGAAACGAAAAAGCCAAACAACAACTTTTAAAATTGTGAAGTGAAAAAGTTTTTAATTATATTGGATTTGAAGTCACATTCTGAATGCTGCTTGATTTACTTCATTACTACCAAGGCAGTCCCTATTTGTGGTATGAAAATCCTATTATCTCTATGAAAAGTTATGAAAATACCCTTATTTTTTAAGTAGAATCAGTTTTCAAAGTGAGGAGGCTGTATAAACAAATCCCGTAGTCCTTTAAACAGTTGCACACATATCCAACAAAGGTAACCGTTTTTCATATATCACTATTAAGCTTTTTCACTCAAAGTGGCTAAAAGCATTATTTCACAATAAATTGTGACTTGTATTGGCTACGCGGTGAAACAAATGGCACTGTAGTTTTTACTCATGAATCAATCATTTGTTTGGTACAGATTGTGTATGTTGCTCCAATGAAAGCTTTGGCAGCTGAAATGACAAATTACTTCAGCAAACGTCTGGAGCCACTGGGCATTATTGTAAAAGAATTGACTGGTGATATGCAGTTGTCTAAATCTGAAATTTTACGAACTCAGGTATGTTGTTTACCTATTTCTCTAGTATCTTTTTTTTTTTTTTAAATCAGATAACTGTGAAATTTGTTAAGCAACTAAAAGTTGACTAATAATAAATAGTACAAATATGGAATTCTTTTATTTATAATTACTCACTACCTCTGCATTACAAAAATGGTTTCTGCTGATATTTTATTTCTATGGTGTTCCTTCTAACTTTATGTGATTCTTGGTATATCTTGAATATTATTAAATTCTATTTGTGGATTTAAAGTCCACTGACAGTAAATGTTGTTCTTTTTAAGCAGTGGGGAATGAGACTGTGGATGAGAGACCAGAGTTAAATTTTAAGAGACTCTCACTAATACTCTCAATAATTAGTAAGGGTGGTTGTTGTTGTTAAATGCCGTCAAGTTGATTCTGACCCATAGCTACCCTCTAGAGGGTTTCCAAGGAGTGACTAGTGAGCTTGAACCACCAACCTGGCAGTTCAAACTGACTTTGCAGTCTAGCGCATTAGCCCACAGAGCCACACCAGGGCACCATTAGTAAGGGCGGTGGTGGTGGTTATGTGCTGTGGAGTCGGTTCTAACTCATAGCCACCCTATACAGGGTTTCCGAGGCTGTAAATCTTAATGGGATCAGAAAGCCTCATCTTTCTCCTGCAGAACAGCTGGTAGTTTCAAACTAGTAAGGGTAGTTAAATGTAAAAGTTTTTAGTTGTACTATCAAGTAGAAACTTACTAAATCAAGTGTTGTGTGTAGCAATATAGATGGTGAAATGAATAACAACAAAATCATTTAAGATCTAGTTCCTATCTTCAAAAATCCTATAATATGGCTGGATAGGCAAAAAGATGGATTGGCAAAGTGGCAGCATCAATGGGCTTGAGTGTGGCAACAATTGTGAGGTTGGCCTAGTACTGGGCAATATTTCATTCTGTTGTGCATAGGGTCGCTATGAGTCAATACCGACTCAATGGTGCCTAACAGCAACACCACCTAATAGTAAGGTCATGTTCATAATACTTTAAAAATAAAATAATGATCAATATTATTGGGTTATAGGGATGCTGAAACACCGTAACTACAAACTTGGTGGTTTATAACAAATTTACTCTCACATTTCTGAAGATTTGGCAGTCTAAAATGAAGATCTAGGCAGGTTTGATTTCTAGAGGCTGTGAAGCAGAATCTGTTCCATGCCTTTCTTATAGCTACTGGTGGCTGCCAGCAATCCTTGGCCTTTTTTTGCTTGTAGATGTATCGCTCCAGTATTTGCCTCTGTCTTCATTCTGTCCTTTCCACTATGTGTCATTGCTTCTTGTCTTCTGTTCTGGTCATTGGATTTAGGACCTACTCTAATCCAGGATGATATCATCTTGAGATCGTTACCTTCATTATGTATAACCTTTTTCAAATAAGGTTATACGCACAGGTCCTAGGTCATACCTTTTGGGGTGTGGTGCGGTGTGTGGATCACAACTGGACTGTGAACCACAAGATTGGCAGTTCAGACCCACCAGCTTCTCCTTGGGAAACCCTGTGCAGGGTTGCTGTGAGTAGGAACCGACTTGATGGCACGTAACAACAACAACAACAACAACAAATCCACTAGAGAAGATGTGCTGGGAATACTGAAACAAAAGACAAAAAACAAAGATTAAAAATTAGATTTCAATAAAATGCATTTTGGCCTTGCACATTATAATTCATGTTGAAATCTTCCAAGAAAATGTGGTGACACTGGAAATACTCATCTATGCCAAGAAATTTGGAAGACTATCTGGCCAACTGATTGGAAGAGAGCAGTATTTGTGCCCATTCTAAAAAGAGGTGACCCAATGGAATATGGAAATTATAGCACAATATCTTTGCTATCCCATGTGAATAGAGTTTTACTAAAGGGAATACAGAACCATCTGCAATCATACATTGACAGAGAACTTCCAGAGGATCAAGCCAGATCCAGAAGAGTGCGTGGAATGAGGGATGTCATTGCTGATGTCTGATGGATCTTGACTGAAAGCAGAGAATATCAGAAAAAAATGTTACCTGTGCTTTATTGACTACGCAGAAGCTTTCGATCATGTGGATCATGACAAGCTGTGGACAACATTGCAAAGTATGAGTATTTCGGAACACTTAATTGTGCTCAAGAGGAATCTGTACATTGACCAAGAGGCAATTGTTCAAACAGGACATGGGAACACCGAACGGTTTAGACACCGAAGTGTGCGACTGGGTTGGATTATTTCACCATACTTATTCAACCTGTATGTGGAGCAAATAATCTGAGAATCTGGGTTTTATGAAGAAAAACATGGCATAAGGATTGGAGGAAGACTCATTAACAACCTGCAATATGCAGATGATATACAGCCTTGCTTGCTGAAAGTAAAGAGGACTTAAAATAT